CGCTGAAGGAGCTCACAGAGCACCGCAACAATCTCCCGGAGTTCCTCGCCAGCCGCATTTTCATCTTCCAGGCGCCGTCCCGATCGAGTCTAGTGTTTGGGCCCGAGCCCCCTTTCCTCGCGAGACGCACGTCTCAAATCGACCGCAGGCGGGGCGTCTGTTGGTGTGGCCAGTGGGTGATGATGATGATGATGATGATGATGATGATGATGATGATGATGATGATGATGATGATAATGATGATGCTGATGCTGATGATGAGGATGAGGATGCGATTGAGGACGAGGACGACAATGCTGATGATGACGATTCTGATTCCGGTGACGATCAGGTTGCTCTTGTTGATGATGGTGATGGTGACGGTGATGCAGATGGTGATCGTGATGATGATTCTGGCGACGAAATGACGATGCTGAGGCTGACGCTGCTGCTGCTGATGATGCTGATGCTGATGCTGATGTTGATGATGATGTTGATGATGCTGAGGATGACGATTAGGATGATGCTAAATATTATGATTATGATCATGGCGATGCTGCTGCTGATGATGATGATGATGTTGATGATGATGCTGATGATGATGATGATGATGATGGTAACGGTGATGGTGATGGTGATGCTGCTGATGATGATGCTGCTGCTGATGATGATGAGGATGCTGATGATGATGATGCTGCTGATGATGATGCTGATGCTGATGCTGATGATGACGATGATGATGATGTTGATTATGATGATGATGATGATGATGATGATGATGATGATGATGATGATGATGATGATGATGAGATGATGATGATGATGATGATGATGATGATGATGATGAGATGATGAGGATGATGATGATGATGATGGATGATGATGATGATGATGATGATGATGATGATGATGATGATGATGATGATGATGATGATGATGATGATGATGATGATGATGATGATGATGATGATGATGATGATGATGATGATGATGCTGTTGATGACGATGATGATGAGGATGTGGAGGAGGAGGAGCAGGAGGAGGCGGATGAGGGGGGGCTGGCAATCGGAGCCACGCAGCTTTGGGGTACGAACTACTTGTTCTGGAGCCCTTTCGCAGCGTTACCGAGCGTTCCAGCACGGCCGTTGCGTCCAACCATATCCTTCTCTGGGCGTCGCTCGCCTTCAGCGAGAGGCCGTTCAGGTGCTCGCGCCCTTGTTGCTTGCATCCTGCCTCGTGTCTGCGAGACGGACTTCTTCAGGGCTCATTTCTGCCCCTCCGACTCGCTTCGATTCGATTTCGATCGATTCCGATTCCGATTCGGTTTGACTGCGGATTTCGACTTGGATTTTGTTTTCTCAGTGGAGACCTTTCTAGCTTGCCGATTTCCGTCAGCTCGATTGTCCTCGACTTGGCTGCCGATTTTCGCCGATCCGACTCATTTCGATCGCTGATTCGACATCGATTCGATTCTACAGTCGCTTCGCTTAAATCCTCTAGCCCATCCAGAAACGATACCCATCGAGTTGTCCTGATCAGGATCTGTCGGAGCATGCGGTGGAATCAGGGGTTCGAGTAGCCGTCGTACCTCAAGAGGGGGAGGATTGAAGAGGTACCGCAGGAGGAGGAGGAGGAGGAGGAAGAGGAGGAGGGGCAGGAGGAGGAAGAGGAGGAGGGGGATGGGGTGAGGGAGGAAGGAGGAGGGAGGAGGAGGAATAGGGTCTGGCTTGTCAAGAAGGAGGAGGAGGAGAAGGAGGAGGAGGAGGAGGAGGAGGAGAAGGAGAAGGAGGAGGAGGAGGAGGAGGAGGAGGAGGAGGAGGAGGAGGAGGAGGAAGAGGAGGAGGAGGAGGAGGAGGATGGGGACGAGGCCATCTTGGGCTCCAAAACCTGGCAGCCACCGACGCCGCAGTATGGTGTAGCCGTCCAGGTGCAGCTCGGGCCTCAGGCGCGCCTTTTGCCGCGACTTTTGCCATTGTCCATAGTCTCCTCGCGCATTTCCTACAGTCCAGCGTCTGATTGAGAGGCCTCCCCCAGAAAAGCTGTGCGTGAGTTTCTTAACCAGCGTTAGCACGAACACTTGGCCCAGCTTTCTAAGAAATTCTTGACGCTTTCACGTATCCCCAGCAGGGCCGGCTGAAATAATCCCGTCGTCGGTTTGGCCGCAGTGGCGGCCCGTGGTGCTCCGAAATGGCTCGCTCAAGGCGCTTCGCCCGCTCTCGGCATACTACACTTCATTGTGCCCGCGACGTATGCGGGCCGGGACACTTTGGACGCTGGCCTCAGCCATTCCGGGTGCCCATCCTTTGGAGTCGGCAACATGCAGTGGCTTCCACTTCGTCGCCCGTTGGGACGGCGGCTTCTGACCCCCCTTTCACATGGGCGTGTTGACAGTGCGGTCGGCCGCTTGTCGGCATCGGCGGACACGGACGTCGGTCAAGGCACCGTTCTGGCGCTTGTGTTTGACGCCGGCTACAGTCACAGGAGTGCCTTCGGGATGCGCAAGCCTCACACCGCCTTGGTACCAGAGGCCATCGCGGGCGCTCTCCTTTGTGGTCGGCCATCTCCAGGCATTGGCCCGAACTTCCTCAGCGGCGTACAGTCTGGCCGACGTTCCAAGTGAGTGAGTGGTTTTGGCACCTTCCGCCTGGCAGTCTGGCCCCACCTGTGGGTCCGACCTTTCCGCCCTCCCCACCCTCGCTGGCATACGCTCAGCAGCTGGTTCTTCGCATTTGCATCCTTGCTGGCACATGTCCAGCGTTGTTTATTTTCTGCTGCTGGCACATGCTCAGCTGCTTCTGGTAGTCACGTGTGTCGCCCGGGTTTCTGCCGGCGCTATGCGGTTGCCTTCTCGGCCGGCACTTGTGCTGCGCCGTTAATTATCTGCCTCCCGTGCGCTGTGCCCCAGCCTCGCTCACGCCGCCCTCTGGACTTTTCCTTGCGGGCCGCGAATCAAAAAAGTATCCCCACCAGCCCCGCGCCTTCCGTGGCGGCCCCAGTGCAGACATCCACCTACGCCGAGTAGGCCCTGGGGGTCAGCGACCCCGACTACACCCGTGACCGCCGCGGCGGCAGTCAGGTCTTCAAGGTGAAGCCCGCTATCGACAGCGGTGCCGACCTCTCCTTCTACGGGCTCCGCCAGACCGCCCACAAGCACCTCAAATCTGGACGCCTTACCCTGTTTGCTGTTGAATCGAGCCAAGGAGGCGAGGCCCATCTGGTGATCTTCCTCACCACCCGCGCCAATTCTAACCGCGCGTGGGGCTTCGTCGACAACCCCAACAGAGTGAACGTCGGACTGACGCGTGCCATGCGTGGACTTATTATCATCGGAGGCGGACGCATGATGGCCTCGATGAAGGACTCGATGCTGAGGCTACTCTCTAACCTCGGACGTCTCGCTGGCCTGTGGGTCCGCGTCTACCACCACCACAACCTCGGCAACCGCGACAAGCTGGTAGTGGACCGCTCCTTCGACCCGATCAAAGACCCCGGCTCGCGGGTTCCCGAGGGCCCCGACTCTATGGCCGCCGCCCAGGCCGACGAGGACAGAGTCAAGATCGACCGGGTCATCGCTAGGAAGAGGGACCAGTGCGCCAAGAGCTTCAGCGCATGCTACGGCCCCCCCCCATCGACAAAGGCTTCTCCTGGGATGCCCTCGGCCGCCAACTCGACAAAGCCCTGGAGGAACTCCTCTCCAGCCCCGCGCTGTCTGTGGTCCTGTTTCTGGCCTCAGGACCCCCCCCCGCAGGTTCAACGCCGAGAACGCCCCCGCCGACTCCGCGCAGTTCGACCGGAAAGCGTGGGGCCACCTGGGGTGCCTCTTCGATGTCGAGCTCGGCGCGGACGCAGGCAACTTGGTGTACAATATGACGTGGGCCACCCTCGACTGGGCGCTCGGCCTTGGCACTCCCTGGGAGATGGCGGCGCGCGTAGTGCGCGCCGACGACCTTCCCCCGCGGCCCCAGATCCAGGGAAGACCCTCCCTCCGCGTGCACATCACGGGCCGGTGCGCCCCGACAGACCTTTCGCACCAGGTCCCCAAGGTGTGGTCGCACGGGGCCGGGAACTGCATCCGCCACCTCGTCTACCCCGACTTCGGCACCGTGGTGTCACTGCTCCAGAGACGCGACCTCCCCACGTGTCATCGAGCCGCCTTGCTGGATCCCGAAGGCTCGCCCATAACATCTGAGAAGGCCCGTTGCGCACTCCTCGTCATGATGCTCATGGAGCGAGAGCCGCGCTCGCTCCTGTGGCCCTTCCCCGACCCCTCCGCCTCCGGTGACATCGTGGAGGCCATTCTCAGCATCTGCTGTCCCTGGCAGAACGACCGCGCCCACTTCCGAACCAGGTTTGCCGAGGCGTGGGGGCGCGCCCTCGCCGATCTGCGCCGCTTACGCGGCCGTTTCGAGGCCCTTATCGCACTCGTTGGACGACGTGCCCTGGTAGCCCACCGCCACCCGGGCGCGCGAGCCGCCAACTGCCCCGCCACCTACGCAGCCATGGAGAGGTACCCGATCGTCGAGCCCGCCGTCCTGGATACCCTAGCAGAGACTCAGTGCAGCACCTGTGCTCTCCACCAGGACCTCACGGGCAGCGACGAGGGGCTTGAGTCCAAGGCAGGAGGCGCCAGCCTCGCCTTCCTTGGGGGCGGCTTCTCCTTCGCCATGGCCCCCCCGGTTTTTTTCGCCCCCCTGGTGCCGCTTCCCAGCGTGGCCCGCGCCCCGAGCTACCTGGCGCCCGGCGACTCCAGGTTCAGCTCCGACCAGAAGACGGCTCGGCTTCGGTGCGACCGTTGTTTCAACGCCAACCTCAAATCTGCGGACGGCACCTGGTTGAGCGACGTCACGCGCGCCTACCTCGCGCAGAATCGCCGCCAGGCTCGCGCCAACGGGCTGGATTGTACGTGGTTGTGCGGCCCCTGCCAGACTGAAGAAATGGGGAAGCAGGGCTCCCGTGTTCCCCCCGGGAACCTTCTCCACGATCGGGTCCAGGCCCTCCAGCGCGCCAAGGGCCCTGCCGGC